AAGAAAGAAAGAAAGAAAGAAAGAAAGAAAGAAAGAAAGAAAGAAAGACATGTGGGATAAGAAATTTCGATAACTCTTGAGTTTAACCATTTCACTTTTTTTCCAATTAATTGATACAAAAGGATCATGCAAAGATAAATGATCTAAACTATAACGATCTTCGATCTAAAAAAAGTCTCATTTCTTCTTGCTGTTTGAGAAAACACATCTATAATAGACTTCGATATATCTCCATTATATTTTTTAGTCTATTTTCACGACAAATCATTTATCATTTTCTATTTCAATCGGCTCTAAAAGATAAAACATAAAAGCCAATTTTTCAATATTTGTCTGGCACCAATTCATTTTATTGATTATTGGTAAAACAGACCAGTATTGTGTACTGTAAGTTTTTTCTTTCTTTCTTTTTTTCTTTTAGGAAATCTGCTCGTAGGAGATTCATTCTATCTCAGGTTTTCCCGCAGCTTTTTTCTCTCTTGTCTTAAATTCATTTTGTATTTTCAAGCTGTTGGAATTGTTAAAGTAAAGTAAGTGTTAAAAAGGCGTTAACGAGTTGTGAGAAGATAACATATTGACAATTGCTGAAAGACTATTAGTTCAAGATGGCTTCTTCACTTACAAGACGTTTAAAGATAAAGGTTTTCTAGGGCTGGGGACATAGCATATAATTCTTTCAAAATAATAACCTTTCAATTTATCTGAGGTGAGTCAAAGTACTAAGGTCTATTTTACAGATTAATTTATCTTGCATGAAAGCTCAAAATGTTAAACAAATTTCTTTCTTTCTTTTTTTTTTTTTTTTTTTTTTTTTTTTTTTTGCACCATGTTGATTATGGTGTTTCTCAATATAGTTTGTAAAAAGGAAAATGGAAAATGAAAGGCCTTTTAAAATCTTAAGTAGTTTATTTCTTAATGCCGGTTTCTCTGACATTTCCAGACAATATATGCCATTCTTGTTTTAAAACGGTATACGGACAAAATCCAAAATATGAAATATTTTAATGTGCAAAAAAAACATTAAATGACTTAGACGTATTTTTCCCTTATAGTCTTCATTCTATAAGTTTATGAACCAAGTAAGTTTATACACCAAAAGACATTTACTCCTTTAACACGGCTGTATATACTTATTTCAATAAAGTTAGCCACCAAAAAACTAGAAAGCTGAGATCACTGAGGATCATAGGAAACTTTTCATATCAAACAAGTAAAGCTTTTTTGATACAAACTGCAGCTTGAGGATGCTCAAAAGAGGTGAGACTGTAACTGGTAAAAGATGTGCAAGTCCATAAACTGTTATCAAGCGGTTGAAACATGTAAAATGTATCTACCCATATTCCTTGTCGGCCTCAGCTTTATAGCTTTTCAGGTGACTAGCTTTATTGAAATAAGTATATAGCATTTAATTACTTCTTAGAAAAGATAGCTTCCTCGTAGAAAATATAGTAAATTAACAATTTCATCTTATGGGAAGGGTTTATGATTTTGACCATCGAGTCATAGCAGTCTGTTTACACTTGAGAAGAATTTGCCATTATAATTCTCAAGTAGAATTTTTTGACTTTGAATGCATTTTTTAAAAAAGAAACCCGATATATTTTATCATATCGTGCTTAACTTTAACACTTTTTCTTTGCTGCCAATTAAGAAAGAAAGACGCATCCTGGTAATATTGGTGGCTCATACGTTCATAAATGTGCTTTTAACTTTTAGAAATTCAAGACCTGAGAGTTTCGGCGCAATTGCTTCTCTTGTCTTGTCTCCTCTTGTCTTGTCTTGTCTTGTCTTATCTTGTCTTATCTTCTCTTGTCTTCTCTTGTATTCTCTTCTCTTCTCGTCTCTTCTCCTCTCGTTCTCTTCAGTTGTCATTTTCTCACTTCTGTCCTCTTCTTTATCGCCTATCAAATCCATTCTTTCTTTTTTCTTTTTTTTTTTTTTTTTTCCTTGTTTATAT